CTGTGCAGGTGCTAAGAAGCAGTGGTCGTCTCAAAAATCTCTTCCAGGAAAACTTAATGAAGAAATAGGCTTTACAGCTCTCTGCAAGGAGCAGTGAGGGAGGGAAGCACAGCTAGTAATTACTGGAGGAGAGTAACAAGGTAAAGCAAGCTGTTAGAAAATAAATCCTTTCCCTCAAGGGAAGGAGTAGAAAAATGCAGTGAGGTGAATAGGTGAGAGATTAGAAGGCCAGGTCTTGATTCATGGATAATATGATGCTGGATTTGGGGTATGGATATTAAGACAAGAGGAGAAGATGCTGTGAAGAAGGCACTCTTTGCTCACTCTGGAGGATTGGCCTGGACGTTCCTGGAAGCTCTGTTTCACCAGCTGGATGAACAAATCTCTAGATTTTCTTCTGGATAAACATGAATTAGGAAGTTGGCAGCATCTCCTTGGTTTGTGTTTTTCTGGCTACTGTGTTCATGCAATAAAGGCTGGATGTGTAGTCAGTTATACTTCAGGTTTTCATTCCCAAATATTAGCTCTCATAACTGTTTCTTCTTCTTGCATTCCTCCTATAGAAAAAAAACCTATAAGAACTGTCAATATTAATTAATCTCTGTTGTTTTTCCTTGACTTCAAATAAGAAATACTAAGCAGAATGCCAAGTATTTCATGATTAAGGTCGAAAATTAATTATTTTGCAGAAAAAAAATAGTAGTAATAGTCTGTAGAAGAGAGTATTGCTATTATTATATATGTCTGTATGCCTGAAAAGGAGAAAGAAAACACCCAAAAGGAAAAGGAGAAAAATATAAAATAAATATGAAGATAAAGAAGAGCAGATAAGGAAAACAAAGCCTGAAGTTGTAGAAGTGACCAAGTAGGTTTAGCAGAGATGACCGCAAAGAGAAAAACAAGAAGGACTGAAAAGGTTGAAGAAATAGGAATGGAGTATGAAGCTTATGTCATTCCAAGAGCATTGGGAGCTGAAATCAATCTTAACAAATATAATAATATAATCACGATTTTAAAAGAGAAAAAAAGGAAAGAAAAAGGTCATAGAAAATGTGGTGGTGGAAGGAAATATAATAGAATGAGTTCACCAGAAGGCATTTCATTCTTTCTTTCCATTAAGGTCAATATGCTCTTTTTAAGAAAATGAGGTTCTAATATAAATCTCTTATTCTATCATCAACAAAATGCTGGCAAATACCATAGACAGTAATTTTTTCTATTTCACGCAAAATGCAATAACTGCAAACCACACTACTACAATCTAGGAAACTGAAAGCCAGGGCTGAAAGTCTATGTTTTACATACCCTGTAGGCAACCTAAATACTTGAGAGAACGCTTTGAGAGCATTGTCAGTTTTAATTTTGTATTGCATAGCTTCTGACAGTTTGTTAAATACATGTATGAATTATTTAAAAAACACTTATGTACATATTTAAGGAACAGTCTATTTGTAGATCTTCATCTCTCTGCTTCAATACATAGTCACATGCTATTTTTCAAGACTTTACATAATAAGGGATTTAGAGCTAAGGAATGAGTGCAGAGCATTTCTAATTTCTAAAATAACTACTATAAAGTCTGTCTTGGTGAATAAAAGCGAAGACCAATTTCTGCATATTTTCCCTGCTACTTTACCAAGCAGGCTTTGATTTCTGTGATTTCTTCCTGAACAGTAATGAATGAGAAATGAAAGATTAATTATTTTAAATAATATATATATAAACAAGGGAAGGAGCATTTAGCTCTGTAATTTCAAAAACTATTTGATGAGGTTCTTTGCACAGAATACTGTATTGTTAATAACTTTTTATTTCTATGAGAGGGATGTGTTATATTTTAATATGTCAAAAGCCACCGTTCAGGTCATGATGAATCCAACTTTGATCAGTTACAATGCTGAAATAAGTGCAGTAATTTTTATTGTTACAGATGATAGAAAAGGTTTGGTTTACTTGCTCTCAAAACCTAGTTTAGAATAATTTGTATTAATACCTATTACCTGTTCTTTTTGATATTACTTCATTAACATTCTGAACAGTAACTCCTGGAGAAATTAATACTCTGATTTTCTCTGGTGTTTCAGGGCCTTTGGCTCTCTCCAGAGCTCCAACTCTTCTCCACTCCTGGAGCCCTCCTGAAAGCACTGGCCCAGAGCCTGACGACGTTCAGCCCCATCTTTTACTCAAGGTAGGTAAAACCCGAGGTTTCTGCCTCTTGGGCACTTTGTGGACTTGAGTTCTTATGGCTGGAGCCTCAGCCATGTCACAGATGGTGGTGGGTCTGAACCTTTTGCTGCAAAAACCAAGCAGGGCAGATGTGCCAGTTGGACTGTTGTTGCTCATGCACTGTTCTCGCAAAGATTGCGCTGGTGTCTTCTCGAGCATACACTCACAGCAGAATGATTTCTGCCATCAGAGAAATATGGTGTAAAGGAGGAGGGAAAGACCACTGGTCCCAAAGAGCAATAAAAATAGCATTCTAGGCCTCTGTTGGATTACCCAGTGTGTGTGTGGGGATGACTCAACCCCTCGGTTTCCTTCGCATGAGGAAGTTAGATAATCCCACTATAGCCTTAGTTAATTAGCGACACGTTCACAGGAGAGGGACGGTATGAGTAATTCTTTCCTTTGAAAGAGACCTTGATAGACCTTCCCAAGGGAGTCACGAGCAGACATCTCTGGACTTAGCCTTATACTAACAGTAAAAAAAAACTAAATATCATGGAGATAGGAGGAGCAGTACTGAAGGAAAAAAAAACAACAACAACCAAACAACTCTAGTATACTATAGGTAAAAAAAAAAAACCCTAAACTAATGGTAATAACAGAACTCACAAGTGATTTTCAAAATGGAGCCTCTAGTTACCAAAATGCCTAATTAATTTCCTTATTAAATTGCTCATAACATTAAAATGTTATTAAGGATAGCAGTAGCAAATACCCAAGAAAGCCTAGGTGGGTCTTTTAAGTAAATTGCATTGGCTAGAGGAGTTGAATTTAGTTATTAATTGGAGAAAAAAGAAAAAGGTAATTGAATAGGTTCCTTGTGGTTTGGAAATGCCTTCCAAATACTCATTAAACATTTAAGCGACTAAATTTGCAGAATATGTTCCTGACATTGGCACTGGTTCTGCAGTATTTCTCTCATCAGATGGAAGTACTGTGTGTTATGCAGAGTGCATTCATGCATAAACAATATCATTTTCATAAATTAAAACCTCCCCTGCAGAAGGAACATCTGTGCCTGCCTTTGAATAAAAGATGGTGGCATGCGAGTTGCCCCTTGACTGGAAGAATCCTCGTCTTGGCGAAGAAGGCACGTAACCAAATGGCAAACAAACCCGGGTCGGTCCTCGGGCGCCGCCTGAGCATAGGCGCTCGTTCCCGTTACGGGGCTCGCTACAGCCCTGCACTGCCCAGGAGGGGCTGACGGGGGAGCAGCGCCCCGCCGCCCCCCCGCTGCTCTGGCCGGGCCGTGCCCGAGAGACCCGCGCGTTTTCTGCGGGCTCCGAGTGAGGGCAGCGGCTGCCGTCGGGCGCCGACTTGTTGCTGATTGCGGCCGCTCGCTACGGGTCGCACCTCCGGGTCCGCGCATCCCGGAGCCCCGTCCTCCCGCTACCTGGCAGCCTGGCAGCCCCGCTGCGAGCACCCGGCCCGGCCCCCCGCCCGGCCCCGCGCTGCAAGCAAGAAGCCGCGTCCTCGGTTTGTTCTTGGTAGTGGTGGCTTTTTTTTTTTTTTTTTTTTTTTTTTAAGTCCAATTTTATTCTACAAATAATAAGTGTCGCACCTTCCATGAGCTATCCGAGTAAAACAATAATCCCATAGGAATTACTTACACTAAGAAAAAATAAAATCACATTGAAGGAGAAATGCAACATTCGACCAAATGTTCAATACTAGGTTGTTGCAAAAGGATGGACATTTCCTAAAATCCCAGTGTGCATTACACCATAATATACAGGTTTACAAACAAAATTACAGTACAGATTTGATTCCAGTTGAACCAGCGTTACATTTCAAACAGCACTTATTCTGGACTGCATTGTACATGCAATAGCTATTGTTCTAATTACGGATTAAATGGTTTGAATCTGTTTCAAGCTACCGTACTAATCGACTACAATAGGTATATAGCCCGACTCCAACGACCTGCTCAGCTTTAGGTTCCGAGTGATGAGACGAGCGAATGACAACCACGGATCGTGTGAATATGTCTAAAATCATGCAGTTACAGCATCCGGAAACACCGAGAGCTTCAAGTTCTCTGCAGGAAAAAAACAAAAACAAAAAAACAAAAACAAAAAACACCACGGGATGCCAGGGGGCTCAAAGACTAAAAAGAAACAGTGCAAATTGTATGTGATAGTCAAGCAGCTTTTGATTTAAGAAGGGTGTTGGCATTTGCTTATAATATTTATATACAAGTTTGTGCAAGTCACGTGTTGAACTGATATGTTTTAATAGAAAATAAGTCTCTCGTTCTTCTATCTTCTCAAGAGCTGGGGGTCTGGTTCTGATCGTAAGGGGGAAAGGAAAAAGAAATGGAAAAAAAGACAAAAAAAAAAAAAAAAAAAAAAAAAAAAAAAAAAAAGACTTTAATGGGAAAGAAATTGCCCGGATTACGCTTCGTGTTGTTTGTTTGTTTTTCTTTAACGATTTGAAAGGAAAGCAGTGCTAAGGCAACAGAACTTCTCTAAGCACTTTTCTGCTGGTTTAAATTAGTTAAATTATTTCGTATAAATTAGATATAATTCTACCTTTCCGATATGTATAAAAATTGATGAAGCTGCATGGTTTAAAATAGGAAATCCACGTTATAAAAAGTCATTAAAAATTCTGTACAAAACCACAACAAAATAATTCGGCGCGGGAAAGGTAACAAGTAGTAAAACGTTGGTTGAAAAATAGAGATCTCATATATATTTTGTAATTGGCCCATCGCGAGGTTAAAAATTGCATAGATCCGAATTATTGCTGGTGGCCCCGCTCGGCGGCGGCGCTCACTCGTGGAAGATGGCGCTGAGCTGCGCGCTCAGGACGCGCTCGTGGTGCGGGTGTCCCTCGTAGGGCGCCATGCCGTCGGCCGGCAGCTCGCAGCGGGCGGCGGCGCCCGAGAAGACGGCGGCGTGGGCGGGCGCGGCGGGCAGCGGCCCGGCGGGGTAGTGCATGGTGAAGGCGTAGCTCTTGTCGAAGTCGGCGGCGGGCTCGTGCTTGAAAGAGAAGTTGCCGTTGATGCTGAGGGGCGGGCTGAGCGGGCCGTCGAAGGCGGGGCCGGCGCCCTCGGGCAGGCCGCCCTCGAAGAAGGGCTCGAGCGCGGCGCCGTAGGCGTGCGGCGGCTTGAGGTGGAAGAGGTGGGAGCTGTCCATGGTGCCGTAGGGCGGGCTGGGCAGCCCCGGCGACGCGTAGGGGAATGGCGGCGGAGCGAAGGGCGCTCCCGCGGGCGGCAGGTGCGGAGGGGCGTCCGCGCTCTGCTCGGGCAGGAACGTCCGCGGGTTGAGCTGCAGGCAGCCGGCCACCAGGTTGGTGGTGGGCTGCGACAGGCCCTTGCACAGTGTCTGCACGAAGGAGACCAGGTCGGGGCTCTTGCCGGAGCGCAGGATCTCAGACAGCGCCCAGATGTAGTTCTTGGCCAGGCGCAGCGTCTCGATCTTGGAGAGTTTCTGCGTCTTGGAGTAGCAGGGCACGACCTTGCGCAGGTTGTCCAGGGCCGCGTTCAGGCCGTGCATGCGGTTGCGCTCCCGTGCATTGGCCTTCATGCGGCGCAGCTTGAAGCGCTCCAGGCGTGCCTTGGTCATCTTCTTCTTCTTGGGGCCGCGCCGCTTGGGCTTCTGCTCGTCGTCCTCCTCCTCCTCGTCTTCCTCCTCCTCCTCGTCCAGCTCGTCCTCCTCGTCTTCCTCCTCGCCATTCCGCAGCACGTCCTCTTCGGCCTCGCCGTGCAGAGCCTCCAGGTCCTCCTCCTTCTTGTCGGCCTCGGGCCCGTCGGCAGGCGGGCTCAGGCAGCCTGCCGCCCAGCCGGGGGGGGGCCTGCGCCTGCGGCTCGCCCGCCGGCCCGCTCTCGCTGTACGACTTGGTCATGGCGAGCGCCTGCAGGACAGGGACAGCGCCGGTCAGTGGCACCGCTCGAAGCCGGGCGGGTGCCGGGGAGTCGCGGGACGGGAGATGAGAGCGGGTGCGGGAAGATAGCGCTCGGGGACAGGGAAGGCCGCGGGGACGCAGCTCCTCCCGCCGCCCGCGCCCCGACGCCGCGGACAGCTGCTGGCTCCGCACTCCTGCCCGACCGCTCCCGCGCGGCGCGTATCCCCATACAGGTGCCCACCCCGTTCCAGACCCGTTACCTCCGTTCTCAGCCTCTCCCGCGCGGTGACGGTCGCATAACCCCGCCGCCGTCCGCCGGCGCGCTCCGGGTGCGAGGGCGCGGCGCGTCGTTCCGAGGGCGCAGTGCCGGCCGCCCCGGTTTTATAGCGGGGCCGGCGGATCGCGGCGGCGGCGGGCGGGGGCCGGGCCCGGGGCCGCGCCGCTCGCCCCCGCCCCGCGCGCCTGCGCCCGCCC